ATAATTGGCATATGTATTCTTAATGTAACAAGCCACTGGAATTAATTTGTCAATAATACGAGGTTTGATCTTAATCATTAATTAATTAATTAGTGAGTGATTAAGATTCTTACGTTAATGAGCTTTGGAGAATTAGACAAATATATATTTTTATATTGATATAAAAATCAGGAGTTCAACCTCTATTTCATTTTTAATGCTAATTAGTGATTATTAGATAATACATTTTTTTTTTATATGAAACAAATATGGTTGTGGCCTTTATGGGCCAGAAGCTGAAATTAGAAAAGCCCAATTTGTTGGAAGCCAAACACGTCTTTATAAATTATTGAGCATGAAACCAATTAATGAAAAAGCCCACCCATGATAATTATATATAAAGCAACTATATATTTTGCTATATATATCTTATCTTATAAAAACAACTATAAGAGCCACACTATTTTTTTTTTTTTGAGATAAAAAAAAATTATTATTATATATAAAGATACCAAGGGATTACCACACGATAATAAAATAATTATAAGTCGATTAAGTAATTCATGACAGTATATATGTTATGATCTAATAAAATAAAAACAAAAGTATGAAACTATTTATCCCTAATATTTTGGATGTAAATTTCAATACCTTCAAAAACTCTTATATTCATCTCACTTAGAATCCAAAAAATGAAAATCGGAATAAGAAATAATTATTTTTTCTTTTCACATAAACCAACCCACGCCTACAAATCCTTATTAACATTACCCGCCGTAACCCAGTTCATCCTCGTAATCCCAAACACATACTTTCAAATTCTATACACCATTGGACACCAAAGTAACAAGTGGTTGCGTGATTCTTCATCGGCTTTGCACGTGTAAGAGCCACACTAATTAATTTAGATCAACTTTAAATCCGAAATTCATTACTCATATCATCAAGCAACCTCCACAAGCTACTTTCAAATCCAAAACGGTAGAATTTCAAATTTGGGGGTGCCATATGAATAACATAAGAGCCGTATGAGTGCCTTGTTCTCATTGCTTGTGGAATTGTAACCTAATCTCGCAAGCTCGAGCATGTATTTGTACGTAAAAGACAGGCAGAAAAATTGTCTGACATTGATTAATAAACAGATTCAATATAAAGAAAGTACGTGATAAGTTATAATTTAATTGTTTCTTTACGGATTAAAGAACAACATGAGATCGGTAATGGATGGTAACATTCACCCATATACGGATGGATATTTCACCCGTTCCAAATCTGAATATTGGACAAGGGTAGAGATAATAACTAGCAAGACAGGTATACAACATTAACATTACAAAAATAGCTTTCAAGAATCAAGGAGACGTGATCTTTTGTCAATCTAAATCTCTCCACATGATCACTTCTTCAGGGGACAGGGAGTAGAAAGAGAAAAAAAAAAAAAATCTAGCACCAATAGATGACCTAATACCACATTAGCATCAAAACCCACTTAGCCATCTCTATTTCCGAGTAGCCATCTCTATTCTAAGAACTACTTGTCTGACAAATTATACCCTTGCTACTTCATAAGAAGCCAGCAGCATTTGAATATCATTCACTTATCAGAAGTTCGGAGTGACGTTACCTTTCACTTTTATCCTTGCCATATAAAGCTACCTCATCAGCCTTCATCTGTGTCTTTCTCCTCTCCTGTCGCCTAGCATCCCTTACAGAAGCATCGGCCTCAACTTTCTCCATTATAGTACGGAAGCCAGGAATTGTCCTCTCCAGTTTCTCGTAAACACGGGTACTGAGATTGAAAAAAATTCGAAACATTCTCTGCAAGCATAGAAAGGGAAGACAAGCTAAGGGTGCACACTTAACCAGAGACATACTTTCCCACAAGGCATCAGATAAAAACGAAGCAAGGGATCTTTTGAAAAGCTTAAGCAGGTTCTACAGCCAATGCAAAATATGCATTACCAAAACTTTCGAGAAATTTTCATAGTTCATTTCATAAAATTTGTTCATGGGGTGGGATTTATCTGGCAGA